TTTCTCAGCTTAATTGTTCAGCATGTACGATATCGATACGAAATTTTAAGAAATGCAAAAGAATGAATAATTTTCCTATCCACTGTCCCTATCTACTATCTAGCGAAACCACAGCCATTATTAACGACTGTTTACCATGACTTATTTCTAACCATATATAATTAATGGTTATGAACACTCGTTTCTAATTAAACTATCATCAACGACTAATTACCGAGATATTTTTCTAGTCACATAATATAAACAACTGGTTCCCAACCTTGAATCTTTTTAGAAAGAAAAGTCAACTTTCGGAAGTAACCAAAAAGAAAATAAACATTCTTGAATTTCGTCATTAATCTTGCACAATTACATATCATTATAGCCTTAATGACATTATAATAAATTAAATAACTATTTAATTTACTGTTTTTGCAAATTTTCTTCTCCAAAATATATTCTGATCTCGTAGAATGTAAAATTGTTTGAAAATCAACAATAACAATAATTATATGATATTCCAACCTGAACGGCAACTTGTGCAATATACGAGTTAAATGGACATATCAAAGATCCTAAGATTCAACAATTCAAGCCTAATGTAGAATTGCAGAATAAAGAGAGGATCAACCAGTTAGCAGTACCCACCATTTACACGGCTTCTATTAACCGAACAGCCACTTTTATAACTTACCATCTGCTGTAAGCAAGAAATCACATTCAAACTTGGATTTTCTTATCCTAGACCCGGCCTGATAGAATACTAACATTCTCCTATTGATTTTAAACCTCAATAATAATGACATCTGTTATAATGCTAACGATATGTGTATGACTAATAATATCCATTATAATAACAAACACTTTTACCGTTGTCAACCTTACAATAAAATATCCAGTGTTCATGAAACTGATTAATTACACAAATACATGTTTACAAACACTGAATGAAATAGAATATTTTGAAGGACGGATGTTATGTAAATTCATGATTAATGAAAGGTTATTATAGGACATGAAATTTTGCTTCCCTAGTATGTAATTATAAAAAAACGCAAAAACGTCCATAAAAACTGCCAAATTTGGTGAAGATCCATCAACAGGGGGAGAAATACTGGTAAAAAACACAAAAATACCTTTAAAAGAATGGAAAATCCAAAACTGAAGATTTTTATGTACCTCCATATGGACCTAATGAAGCTACATACCAATTTTAGATCCACCCTGCGAAGTAGTTACATGAACATATAACAGATAGTACTATTATATTTATATAGATTTAAATCAAAATTCGAGAAAAAATAACGACTAGTTGGGGTTAATATGAAAACTATTATTATTAATTTGCAAAGATGGCAGAAATATTACACATTTTAACTCCATTAACAGCAGCATCCGTTTTAAAAGCATTTCAGTTGGAGGGTTACGGTTAGCATATATTGATTTACAATAATCTTAAAAACCATCGCTGATAGTTATTTTAATGCTGACAATAATATAGTTGGAAGGTTACAGTTAGTGTATAAGGATTTATAACAACCTTACATGTCATCGCTGATAGTTATTTCAATGCTGATAACAATATAATTGGAAGGTTGCAGTTAGTGTATAAGGATTTATAACAACTTTACAAGTCATCGCTGATAGTTATTTCAATGCCGACAATCATAATGGATTTGAAAATTACCACTTGCAACGGTTAAAACTGCGAACAAAAGTAAGTATTATTAAGTTTATAGTTTCACCAGATTAATCATGGTATATCTAACCTATATAAAAGTAAGTATGTGTCACGTCATGCTTAATTTCTCGAAATAGGAGGAGTCATAAAAGCCAAAATACATTTATCCAGATAGAATAGTTCGATTACTGTCTGCTCATTACGATTTCAGTGACGAGGTGCAAGGGGGCCGTGAAACCTTTTAAGTGTAGTGAGTGTTGGTATAATAAGCCTAAAATAAAGACGTAGTGCGAGATCACCTAGCCTAGAGCCAAGTGTATAAAATTTATCATGAAAGTAAAAATATCGATTCAATTTTAAAGTTAAACTGTTTCTGAATTAAGCTATTTTCTGTTACATCACCAACGTTTTTAATAAAAAATAAACTTCTTTAATCAACCTACATTAAGAAATCAAATATTTTTCCAGTTTGTTGTCTGTACATTTCATTTTATACTTTTAATACATATGCTAAGTAACAATATTAGGTTATACTTTTGTTGCTAAGCAAATTACATAAAAGCCATTGTTGGAACGTAGTGTTACCAAAACGCACTGGCTTTTCTAAATATTAACCTAACTGATTTTACCAAAAATTATTCTATGAATACGCCAGGAATTCACTTCATAAATTATCTTAATTTTGATTGGCTCACTAAGGAATTTAACGGCGTTTGACTGCCCCGATTGCACTTTTCTGCCTCTTTATTGGTCACGTTTGATTTCACAAAATTTATTTACTTCAGTTAGCTATGAAATGTAAGGTTATGGTATAGTATGGGATGGGGGTGGTAGAACTTGCTCCATCATTTTTGACTGGCTATACGCTAGTTCAGACAAAATAAACCCATATTCATAAACAACAACAATAACACAGACAAAATATGCTGGATTCTACCGCTTCAATGTATTAGGTAAAGAAAAAAAGTACAATTAGCTGTTACCAAGGTAAAAACAAGATCATTGTCTTGTTATAAATGTATTGTTAAATACACAGTATGGTTAGATTGTTGTTTGAAATCCATTTGTCAAAATAATGTATTGTGAAAGTGTGGATGATTAGCACTAATAACTACCAATAATTATAAAAAGAAAGTGTACAATACCTAATACTAGGACTGCTAATAATTACTATGAAATTGATAATAATCACAATTCAGTTACCCAATCAGGTACACAGTATAGCAGTTGTTATTCACGAAACATGATAGAAATAGTGCCTCGACCACTATTATGTTTGCCGATTCCTAGCCAGCCCGATGAGCCCTGGTACTGGGCGAAAGGCTCGCCAGCACTGGATATGACAGATGTCATGTGAATGACATTATTACATTTTTTTCTTTGCTTTCACTCGTAAGTTCTAAGAATTGCTAATAATTTGAACAGTGATTGACCATTTAGAATATCTACAGCGTCCTATAAAGAGTTAACACCGCGGTTACAATGGTGTTAACGTCTTACTGGAAACTCGAGTTGGTTCAGTTAAAAGTAGCGTTCAAATTATATGCAGTCTTATTATTAAGCTTTACAGATTTTGGTGTTACTAGCCCTAAAAAACTGTAAGAGCTTAAGGTACAGCTTGACTTTGGTTGAAATTTTAAATTTTAAATCATAATCCTCTATACTTAATCAGTAAACCCGTTGACAAAGGAACAGTTTAATTATACAAGACAAGTTGTAAACCAACATTTAAAGTTAACTCATAATACCAGTTACCAGAAAACTTTAACACATTCGATAAGATGCACACCGAAATTCAATCACTAACGTTAACATTCTTACAATAAACTACTAACGATGTCCAATAATTTAAAACTACTAAACAATAAGATGTTTTCATTTTTAGCATTAGCTTTGCTCCACTATTATGCTCCTTCACCTGCTAGTTTTTTTGGATCGGGTCGGACATCCGGTTTGGGCGCTGCCACCAACAAGGCCGTGCTCATCCCTGGCACTTGGCTGGGGAAGCAGTGAGCGATAGGGCCAACAAACAGCGGAATCCTGACACCACTTGTTGACGATGAGATAAGAGAGCCGCCGTTCACGGGGATGCTGTCAATTTCATACTGATACATGAACCGGCTACAAACTACTGGATGCTGATGTGTGTGGAACTAAGCCAGTATGGTTGTTGGCAACAAATAGCACTCTACCTCCTTTCTCCACGTCTTTGTACTGCTTCCTTTCCCCACGTGACTTCACCGATTGGCTGTAGCTTGGCGCACCACTAATTCACTTGTATAAAAGACAGTTGTTAATGGAAAACGCAAAGCTGTAGCCAATATTCTCTTCACCCGTGACTTTTTCAACAGTTCTGTTAAACTTCAGTAAATAGCTTTGTAAGATAGCTTGAATGATAATAATACAATTAGCTTAGTTTTTTAAACTAATCAATGACAAGTTTCAGAGTACAAATACAAAGGAGATTCTATACGAGGTGCTGTACATTTATACTAACCGATATAAAACTAGTTAAATACAGTAGCGGCTGAAACCTATAACACTTCACAATATCCACTTGATACCTCTTTGTTTAGTACTTTCAGTTGTTTAGCCCAAACTCAAATGCTTCAGGTGATGAATCCTCTCTAAACTAACCATCAACCATCACACTATGATCAATAAAGTAATCTCAGATAAGAGAACTTCGACACCGAGTAAGTGTGAACTGAAGTCAACTGTAAACGGCGGTGAACAGAAAACTAACAATCCCATAGCCATCTCTGGTCCTCAAGTGAAAATCACTTTCAACTGGAGAAACAGCTACATACCAGCAAATTACCCAGTTACAGTAATTTAAACAGTAAATTTTACTTAAAAGAACAATTTAAATAGTAAATTGTCTTAGAGTAAATGATATAGCAAACTTTCTCAGTGATATTAATAAAAATAGTAATTTCTCCAGCTTCATCAAGTACATTTTCTTAGCTAAAGCAACTTAAATATTTCTTCACTAGACTGAAATATCAAACATGCAGCATTTAAACATGTCACTTTACTGGGCCTGAATAAAAGCAACGTGTGACCTGCGCTTACAAAGTTTATTTCTCTATTACTGCAAGTACTGTAACAGACTGCCAGTATTTATCTCGTTTTGACGCAGTTGATATTTACACGAACCAGAAGTTAGTTCACAGTACCACCATTTCCATTTCTACAAAAAATGACTTTATTCAAAAGAATTGTTTTATCACTAAACTGTAAAGAAACGCCAAACAGTTTTATAATTTATCTATATATAGTTTTATGTATTTCTTTGGCTAAGTGGATGAAACGTTTCACGATCCAGATCCTTCTTTAGAATTCACAGCATAGTTACTATTAACATTTATTCTTTTTTCAATTGTCACTTTCACTTTGCAATAGAAACACAATCGTTCTATATAAAGCAGTAATGCCCTCTCATCAAAATTATATGGTGTTTGCTTAAAATATTTGTTATCTATCTATATTACAAACATCTGTTTGTTTCTTATCCAACTACTCCTAGGTCGCTGGGCCAATCTCAACCAAACTTTGTGGGATGATAATTTGGAACAAGGGGCATGTTAATTGGGGAGGGGGGGGGGGAATCACAACCATTCCACCCCAATTATTGATGTTATTGAGCATTATTATCTTTGGCGTAAGTTAACGTTAACTATAATCATAGATAGCGCCACGTTCTTGTACCAAACAACAACAAAAAACCTGAATTTGCAGTCCAGTGGGACAGCATTATTCAGATTTACAACGCTAAAATCAGATGTTCGATTCCCGTCGTTGGACACAGGAGATAGCCCGATGTGGACTTACTTTAAGAAAACATACACATACATTAAAGTTTCTATAACACAACACCCACACAGTGTGGGGGAGGACGCATGAACGTCTTGTATACCTCAGAGACTGTGCTAACACTCTCTATGAAGGAATGCGATGAAAACAAAAAGGTTGCCATTATCACAATAATACATAAACTCAGATAAAGCTGATACTACAACAGCCACCAAAACGCTGATATGAAGAGCCTTTCCTTAAGTTATACCAATTTCCTACTTCGACTCGTGACCTTACAACTTCGGCCCATAAGATACTTCTGCGGCCAATGCCCGTCAATTAATTAATCATGTGAAACACTGTGGAAAGACATTAAGAAGTGTGTGTTGAAAGAGGGTAACAGAAAGCACTCCTACCGCCACTATGTAGCCGCTACCTCTTCCTACAAACTTATCCTGACCATCGTACAGTGTATACCATATTCTAATAGCTACCTCTTCCTACAAACTCATCCTGACCATCGTACAGTGTATACCATATTCTAGTAGCTACCTCTTCCTACAAACTCATCCTGACCATCGTACAGTGTATACCATATTCTAATAGCTACCTCTTCCTACAAAACTCATCCTGACCATCGTACAGTGTATACCATATTCTAGTAGCTACCTCTTCCTACAAACTCATCCTGACCATCGTACAATGTATACCATATTCTAATAGCTACCTCTTCCTACAAACTCATCCTGACCATTGTACAGTGTATACCATATTTTAAGTATATACGTAGTGAGCTATTGAAGCTTATATAAAACTTTTGGCGAGGTAGTAATGAGTATTGTAACAATATGTTATGTTATTAATATACTATGTGAAAAAATTGGTGAAAGTTAGGATTTTTGCGTTACTTTTCATAGAGCATCCCCCCACCCCCCACATTTTTTTATTTAAAGTTCATAACCCGGATAAAGGTCGGGTACGTCATCTTATATAAACTTCAATGAGATACAAAGTTTGAAAATTTATAAAATACTAATATTTATCAAACAAGATATATTGCACATTTCCATTTTCCACTGTTGATACACATGATTTATTGTACTGGAAGCTGTTGATGGGTATTCTCTTAGCTGTAATGTTCTTTCCTTGGAGCGCTCAAAATTGAATATTTACGTTTCACTCGGCTTTTGTATCAGAAGTAAAATTACGGTACAACATATGAGAAGACGTTGTTTCTTTTGTCTCAAGCAATTTATATAACAAAAATATGATGTGACCTTGATGAAATGTGTGCAAGCAAGAAGACTGACTGTGCAACGCGTTAGATTGAACTGTCACTTAATGATGACTGCCATGTTCTTAGCTGGAAAGCACAGTAGCTGCTCCTGTAAATTTATCTTCTCAGCAGCAGAAACTATGGAAAAAAATATTCACTTGATCTTATCAATACAGGAAGCACATAATCAAGAACGCTGCAGCAGAAATTATTCCATTTCTACACAACATTTCCTCCTCCGTTACAAAAAGAAGTTTTACATCTTTCGTTTTCATTAGTCAAGCGCTTTTGAAATCTCTGTTTTAATGCATACAAACTAGTATTGCATGTGCACAAAGTAAAGCCAAGAAAGAAAGAAAAGGCTTATTCTAGAGACCACACAAATCACTCAAGACTCCCTTCTTATCAATTTTTTAGGTTTTACAGCGAAGATAAATTTTAACAATCACGCGTAATTTTTCCAATACTTTAGAAATGTGATGTGAGATACGGATTAAACGTTCCTTGTTTGATTTCAATGGGAAGGAATTTGGATAGATCGTTCATAAAAGTAACTGGCTCCACTAATTAACACTGAACAAAGAAAATGGTTCCCGAATACCTTTTAAGCACCCAGAAAACGAATTGTGTCGAATATATTTCATTTGAAGGTTTCAGAAAGGCTGGCTAAGCCACACAATTTGACGATGTTTCTCCTAGCAAAGCTAACTGCCACAGGATTGAAATCCAATGGCCTTCAAACTCACAATAAATGTCAGTATATTTCCCGAAATGTTAGAGCAACGAGTGATCCGTGGTGGCAACTAAATCTAACATAAATGGCTGATTTGAGTGAAGAAATGCTCGAGGCTGGCTAAGTCCTAATCGATGCCTCTCATTGAATCACCAAGCTAACAAATACAACCAGTAGACTTGCTGTAACATTCGAGAATGAAACCTAGAGCTGATTATTTCACCACGGCTATAGAAATGTGAGAATTAAATAAACTCTACTAACAGTAAGGGGTACGGTTTAAAAACATTTACATTCTAATACTTTTAATGTATTAAAACTAATATGTTGGTTCCATGAATAACAAGAACCCGTCAAAGCGAAAATTGCAAGCTTTTTATTTATAACGAACACAATAAGACATTGCCACTAATTCAATCAAACTTCTATTTCACACACAAATTCTTGGTTATCCATCAGTTGATTGAGATATTGATCAGATATTATCCAATCTTTGATACATGACACTAAATAATGATCTGAAATAAAAATTGTTGAAAAGTTTTCTAATCGAGGGCGTCCTCCTTTGAAGATCGAACCTCGGTTATAAGTTGTATAGGTTAACTGAAATTCTCGAAAAACAACTTTTATAAGTGCAACCACATACATTCATACATATTAATCATTCTATTATAATTCGGGTCTATTTGAAAGTATACATTAATTTCTAATCATGAACCACAAAAATTCTAATAGAACATACGGGCAAAAACCATCTTAAAAACAGACTTGTTCTTGAAACAACAATCCAAACATTCTATCTCAATGGCTAAGGCTGCTAAAATGTTGATATTAGCAAAAAAGATGATCTTCCAATTGTTAGACGAAATTCATCCAATTGTTCTTCATATTATTATTACTAGCAGAAACGCCCACCTACTGGCGGCTATTTGTATTAATAATTACTAATCGTACTATTCATACCTCATTGATAAAAATTTAGAAAAGTGAACATTTTCTCAAAAAAAAGCTTTTCTGGGAAGTACTGCACGGGAAAAGTGTTTTGTTATGTTTTTATCTATTAAAGGTGGTACCCTTTATTGAAATAATATTTTTTTTAAGGAACTCCATTTTTTAGTAATATATTTACAAGTTACACCAATAAAGATATAATCAAACTCTCACGTATAGTCCTAGCGAAAGTCGTGTTCTTGTTGTGAGGAGAGTACTTTTATTCAAAATTGTTTTCTCTAATAAAGAAATGGTTGTTAGAAAAATAACTACGGTGTGTGTAACTGTCCGAATCTTGAACACCCAAAGTGTGAAATGTTTATGGGTTTTGTTTGGGGGTGCCATTCAACAGATAGAGCAACACCGTATTTGTTATTTCGGTCACATACATAGATAGATATACATATACACGCTACGGCCATTATAATAAGGTTATTATTATTCTTTTTTCATAAGCCTACAAAAAAATCGGCTATGAATACTATTTTCAAACTTGGGAAAGCCTACTAAAAAACTCTTGCACAAGTTATGGGACTATTTTTATGTTGATTCTTCAAAGCCATTCAAACACCGAAGTCTACAGCTAAAACGGCTAAGTATACTGCGCCAAAATGTATGCACAGCTACTAAACAAATTCCTGAGAAGGGAGTAGGGCTATTTTAAAGTTGATTCTTGAAAGAAGGGATTTCCACTCTCTAAATTTCTATAAGTTCTTCTTCACTACCAACATAAGCTCTTCGAAGTCATTCAAGCATTGCAGAAATGTAGAAGCCATTTAAACACCGTTAACCTGGTCGGAATCGCTTTGTTTTATTAGAGTAAACAATATGTACATTTATAACAGTGTCTCCAGCCTTTTTATGATTGATTATAGCTTTAAAAGTCGCTACAGAAAAAACGGCTACGAATATTTTAATCAAACCTGGACAATAATAGTGAATGCAGTATTGAGTATGTCATTGGGTAGTTTTAAAATTAATTCAAATGCCTTCGTTTTTTCGCCCTGAAACATTTCTCTAAGTCATTCACTTTCCGTCATTGAAAAAAATTCATTAAAATCGATAAGTACTGTAGACATGGGGTCAAGAATAAGGATTTGTAGCTTGAGAAAATAATGTAGACGCTATTTCCAGCCTAGTTTGTTTACATTTTTAGAGTCCCCAGTTGTAGGCTTGAAAATATAATCTTTGTATTTTGATTCACATTGTTTCTGTACATTTGACGATCCCTATTCTCCTTTTAAATTATCTTATTTAACATAAAAGAGTAAAAGCTATATAAATAAAAAAATTATTTGTCAATTCAAGAACGTTTCAATTTGTTTGAAATTGCATCGGGTCATTACCACTCAAGACATAACAGACCTATCTAAATTCTTAACACAAATGAAAAGTTCAGCTACTTGTTTGTTTGGTTGAAGTTAAGCACAAAGCTACATAATAGGCTATCCGTGCTCAGCCCACCACGAGTATCGAAAACCCGGTTTCTAGCGTTGTAAGTTCGCTGTGCCACTTAAGGGCAAGTTAAGTTAATGGCATACATTTTCACCACAGCTTCCACGTTCAGTAGAATACAACCAAATTAAAGGAATTTATATATATATTACTGTTGGTCAAAATACCTAAAAATGTTTCTTTTCATCTGTCTACCGCAGGCCTTTACGTAGTAAATTCATATAGTTCGTGACTGAAATTAAGCTGGGCGGTTTTTCTCTTAATGTGTTCTTTAACCCTCTTTTATAGACATTTCTATTTAGATGGCGGCTTGTCATAAAAAAATAAAAAATATCAAACTTAACTGTTTAGAAAAATTTATATTCAATCCATTTTTAACATCTCTTCTATGGAATTTATAATAAACAGTTTTGAATCCAGAGATTTCAAAAGTGAAGATTCAGATTGTTAAGATAATTTATGCTTTAACCTTCTTTTTAAATACAGATATTCCATATCTTACATCCTCGATTGCTTTGTAGAAATTAAATGCAATCTTTTATTTAGTTAAACAACTAGATGCTTCTTAAGGTACTCTCATACATAAAGCCGATTTTGCTTAAATAGAAATAATACATTATATATATCAGTTGCCCCGTACCCTTTCTTTTCACACCTACACACTGGCAATAGCTTTGCTAATTCGTGAGGCATCTGTGTATGTTGACAGTGTGTTCGTGATAAATACATTTTTTATCGTACACACTTTGAATAAACACTTTTTTTTTCTTTTCCCGAACCTGAAGGACTGTGTCACTACACCAAAGCACTTGAGTTCCCTGATTTCGTATGTAACTATAATTTGGGAAAATATCACAAAAGGTTTGCCGTAAACAAAGTGTTTTAGATTTTCAGGCGTAAGATATTTCAGTAAACTTACAGGTTGTGGATAAAAAAAAAAAAAAAAAAAAAAAAAAAAATTGAAACACTTGGATAAATGAGGGACAACAAGTATATGCAATGCAGAGGTTACAAAAAAGCTCGTCCATTAATTAAGCAAATAACATTCTAGCATGCATAGGGTCATGTATAAAAATGCTGGACAGGCCTGGTTGCCTATAATCATGGCTAGCATGGCTGCAAGAGGAGACCTCAGTGACTTTGAAAAAGGGGTGATTGTCGGGGCGCGTTTGGCGGGAGCTTCAGTGACCAAGACATTTCAACTTGCTGATGTTTCATGAGCAACGGTGTCTAAGATGGTATCAGCATGGAACTCCAAGGGAAAGACATCATCAGCAAAGGGGCAACAGTGGGCGGAAGCACATACTCCAGGATCATGATGTGCGTGGATTAATTCGAACTGCAAGGCAAAACAAGCTAGCAAACGCAGATAAATTAACTGCAAATTTAAACCTGAGGCGAGAACAGCCAGTTTCATCAAAATCAGTCCCCCCTAGAACTCCATAGAACTGGATACCATAGTCGGGTTGCAGTGCAAAAACCGCTCATCACACCTGGCAATGCAATGTTGCGAGTCCAGTGGTGCAAAGAGCACAAGCTATAGATTACCGAGCAGTGGAGAAATGTGATGCGGGTCAGATGACACATCCTTCACCATGTTCTAGACAAATGGACGAGTGCACGTGTGGCGTTAACCTAAAGAACTCTACAGCCCTGAATGCTTGGTTCCAACAGTCAAGGGTTCTCCGTAATTGTGTGAAACGCATTTTCCTGGCATGGTTTGGGTGCACTCATACCCTTAGAAGGCAAGGTCGATACCAATCGTTACGTGATGGTACCTCATGTTACAACATTTCTGTCTTGTAGAGAGGGGGGGGGCTTTCAAGATGACAATGCACAGGGTTCGAGTAGTCGCCCAATGGTTTGAGGAGCATGACACTGACATTATCCATATGTCATGGCCTTCTCAGTCATCAGATCTGAACCCAATCGAGCATGTATGGAATATTCTGGAACGACGTCTGAGACAGCGTTTTCCACTTCCATCAACTAGGTGTGAGTTGATTGACTTTCTCGAAGAAGAGTGGTGTCGCATTCCTCCTGCAGAATTCCAGACGCTAGTAGACTCTATGCCACGGCGCATACAGGCTGTACTGGCCGCACGTGGTGGCCCTACACCCTATTAAGTGACTTTACATTGGTGTTTAAATTTTTTTGGCCACTACCTGTACGAAAGGACTAAAGCCAATTCCATTGCTTGCAGTTTACACATTAAAATATGTCGAGAAATGTTTTGTAAAAGTTACTTTGCACAGAATAAGTCACCCGACAGTGAGAAATGTTCAAGGTTATGCACTCTTGATAATGGCTTTGATGTTTGTGACACAACAGATTACCATGACCTTTAACCTTTGCTTTGTGAATTCGATCTGGTGAAAATAAATCTGCAGCACTGTGCATAACATTTGTCTCAAAGTATTTGGAAGCTGTGTTTAAAAGTGCACATCTAATCTTCCTATCTATCTATAGAAAAAACGTTGCATGAATAGGTAAACTGAAACATTATGCATAAATAGATGAATGAAAAAAACACCTCTACTCCCAGGAAAACGAGAATGTAAAATACTTACTACTTGTGTCTTGCTTTGGTGTATTGCCGGGTGAAGTCGCCCAGTTGACCTTCATTTCCTATAAAACAAAAACACAAGAGATTGAACTATTAATGCTTCTGTCTTTATGTTACAATATTACAATTAAATTAATAACTTGCCTATTAGAAACAAACTATCAGTTTTAGGTTATGATACACGGGGCCAGTATTTAACATCTGACTGTTATCAGTCTTTCAGAATAAGTTAAGAACGAGGTTACTTACTATGTTACCATACGACATATTGTGGCAAAAGGAAGACACTACAGTACACAGAAATTTGTGGTTTGCACAAGTACTGCGCCAATCTCCAGAAAAATTAGGTACATAACTAGGCTTTACACATTTCAAGAAACATTCCCACCAGTAAACACCAGTTGTTATGGCTTTAGAACCATGAAAATATTACTTTTAGGATTTTCACACATCTGAATATAACTTTTCTGTCGAACAGATTTTCCTATTTTTTTACATTCTCTACTTTCATTGTTTTTTGTGTCTATTTTTTGAAAATGTCAATGGTCTGTTCGCAAAATGGTTCTGGGTTCGGTTTTAATTTGCTAAGATTTCATATGTACGTACACACAAAAAACAAACATATTTATATATGTGAATGCCTATTCGTTGTTAATCTGGAATTAAAAATTCACTAAAACGTATCATCTCTGCCAAACTATACCTTTGTTAAGGAGCTTTAATGATTTATTGGTAGTGACCAGTAAAAATCGGTGCTGTTTTGGTAGTCTCGTATAATTGCCACTAAACTCGCGAAGTTCGAATGTTTGTTGCATTTATTTTATTTATTTTTACTTCAGTAGCATAAAACATTCAGTTTTATAGCTCTAAGAGATACATACTGGTGAAAATTATCAAGATAACTTAATTCGCAGGGGACAAGGAAAACTATGCTAGTAAAATCTATGTGTCTGGGGTGTACTTCACAAGGACCTCTACTTGGTGGTCAGCAAGCAAGAATTACCATTATTCTAACCTCCACAGACCCATAGAAACTCTGACAATTCTAAAACCTATTAAATTAACAACTGGTTATGTTTCATCTGTTAACGGTTTTTTTCTACATACACACACACACACCAATATAAATAAACTGGTCTAAGCAGCCAAAGATATGTCTATCTCGTCTTGCTTTTTTATTTATTATTTGTGTGGACGTTTGTTTATGATGTAACTTTGTAATGTTTCTCTAGAGAGCTGTGTTTTGCAGTACAGACAACTGAATCGCTGGCGCTTCCAGATATACAGAGATAAGATTTGTCCACAAGAATTTTAATAGCGAGGCTTCTCGGCTGTAAAATAAGCCGTATAAGCTCAGGGGATTCGTCACTACTTCCGAATCTCTACCGACGAAAACGTCCCACTGATTAAATCCATCACCCCCCCCCCCCAAATAAAGAAAAAAAAAAGAAAAAAAAGAGAAAAAAGTGCCTAATGGAATCAGTAACGACAAGATGAAACGCTTGGGGTTGCATGTGAGAATATTTCATCGTTTAATACAAGTAGCCAGAATTCACCTCTTCATTATCGTTGCCTAGATGATGACCCATATTGTTCAAGTATTCGATGATGGCTTTGGTTATGGCAGCTAGACTAGAGTGCAGTTTTAGCTTCCTATTCATAACAGATTATTTTCATATCGTGAAGTCGGAATCATACATGGAACTAGTTGTTAAACCTATCGGAATTGAAAATAAGGGATTCTCCTATAAAAAAAGAAGTCTAATTTTAATGTACAAATTCTACTGGATCTATGCAAGACAGATAATTCAGTTACTGACTCTCAATTTTATTATATATTACATGTCGAAACTCAAGCATTAATTTATATCTTAGAAACAGAAACTAATAATGAGGTAGATTCCAACAACCTGAGAAGCAACAATAATCAGTTGTCAGTAAATCGCAAAGATGGAGTAACAAGTTGCCAAGAAAGCACAGGAAAAGCATTACATTTTGTCAAAAAACAAGAGGAAATCCTCAATAATAGAGACACTTGAAATTCTGTTAGACAGGATTACAGTAAATTGATCTATGAGACCTTTTTTATTAGCTATATTTTTGTGCGCCAGCAATACCAAACATGGGTCGCGCGTACACCCGATTCGACTTTATTACTCATCTCTACCACCCGATTCTCAAAATGAAATTCTTTTAGGCAGGATTGAAGTAAATTAATCTATGATACCTTGGGTATGGTCAAATACATCAATCGAAAGGGTTTGACCTTCTGAATCCAAACCTGTAATTACATCTCAAATCAGTCAAGATACGACGGAGCTATGAGATAAAAGTTTGTACTTGAAAAAAACATCATCAAAAACTCAGAGCCATTATACTAGTTTTTATACAATATTTTGCACTGGAAACAATAATTTGTTCTAGTGATTCATATCATAAAAAATGATCTTATGTTTCAGTAACTTTTTTCCATAACATCTTAACGTATGAACGACACTGCACAAGTTGAACAATAATTCGAGAAAGAAACATACTCTATTGGCTAAAAATTAGTTGAAGACGAAAATTTACGCCTCTTGTAATACCGTAACATTACGCTTTCATCTTCAAGTTTCATATATTTAGGCCAATAAGATGAAATGATGACCGAGTTCCCACTTAAATAAACCTTTACAAAAATGTAGAAGATCGAACAACTAAAGACTGAGAATTATGCAGTAAACGAAAAAGTTATCAGGCTATAGGGAGGAAATATGACATGGAAGAAATGACACTGGAGTTTCATCATGCTTGTTACAAAATAACGGGTCATTTTACGGGTATAAATGTGTGGGCAGGATTCGAAAGAATTCTGGTAAGCTAGTATGTCTAACAAAGCAAGATTCAGGGAATATATAAAGAAGTAAATATATTTAGAAATATAAGAACAGCTCACATCCACTCCTTATATATATAATTAGCAATAGTCCGAACTAGGTTGCTCAAGAAATCCCGATCAATCTTACACCTCAAGCTATCCGTTTCAACTATAAAAAACAACAACAATGTAGGCAGGAAACGTATGTGCTACCATCCCACTCGCTGAAAACAATGTAGAGTGATGGTCAGCAGCATTAGGGACAAACAATTAAATTATATACATATATACGCAAGCATTTTATACTTTTCAAATTGGTCCTCTAACCACTTTGTGCTTTGGTGTACAAGACAATAAATACGCCAAAAACGTAAAGCATAGCACTTCTAGATAAAAATAAGGTACAAACGAATGAGAGAGAGATATCTGTATAAATAGCAAGAATACACCGTATATCAGCTTGACGTTTTATTTGCTTGACCCCTTTCTGTAGCTCTTTCTTTTTTTCACTCTCTCAGTTTTTGCTCAGTGTTATATATTTTAAAATACTTTGCCAAAAGTCTTTAAAATGTTATTATGATAAAAAAATAACAGCATTACATGACAAGTCTATCAAAAGTAACGTAAAAATGTGTGTTGCATCCTCAGTCTTTTTTCATCACATGCATTCACTAATGAAGATTCGGTCAATCTCGTGTAGCAATCAAAACCTGTTGTAAATAGTTACTTGTAAATCTACATTTAATAATAAATGTTAATAACGCTACTTAATTTCTGTTTTGTTTATTATTCAATGCATTTAATTTTCAAAAACATCAGAAAATTTTGTTGAAATAAATAACGTGGGCCAAAAGTTTCATATGGATGGCTCCTGCCTTCTACCTGGTTTTGGAGACGACGTTTCGGACTCTGTACTGAGTTCTTCATCAAGTCCGAAACGTCGTTTACAAAACTATACAAGTAGAAGTACATGAAACTATTCAAAACGTCAACATACTTCAGATTTTCTTTAAAAGAAAAAGTGGTTTAAATTAACCAAAGCCTATTTTGGGTACATGATACACTGATACTGTCAGTTTTTTTTGTTTTGTTTTTTTATATACAAGGTGTGGTTTGGTGAACCATCTAAAACGCTTTGTAGTTCAGTCACATCTTTTAGTTGTCCTTACAAAACAACAAACGAGTTGTTTGTGATGTCAACTATTAGTAACGTCACTTACTTAAGTTTAAATACTTCAAAACATAGTTTTATGATCACATATAAATAATATATTTTATTTTCTCACTTAATGCAGCTAAGAAGACTTGTACTATAATAAACGAATCGAAACTTTTTTGCTCGTTCAAGTTCGATTTGAGTCTACTGATCTATAGACTTCTCTTTGTTCGTAGTTATTGTTCACTGTCGGCCCTAGTGAGAATTTTAAAATGTTCTCTATGTAAGTTCATTACGTTCATTCAACTCTAATAGGAGTTTTCGGGCTGAGCTCAGTCCATCTTCTGGTAGAAGCACAATCGAGTTACCAAAAAACAAGTTGAACGAGTAAAATATTGCGGGTCGTTTATTGTTCAATCTTTGAGAATTAGCGATATGTTAATTAATTTAGACCTACACTAAAAAAATCTTGATTTCACACTTTTGTTTTTTCGTAATTTAGAAAACAAGTTATAATTGAAGTTAATAATGCCTAATAAGTATTTCTGCGTGATTGAATAGTTTTCAAAAGGCGCTAAATAAAATGAAAACGAGAAGTGCCAAATGATTTGACTTCTTAAACACGATAAGAGATATCAGTGTACTATAAGTCAGAGCAAGATTACATTGCTATGAATAGACAAAAACGACAATTCATCTAGTAAATCATTATAATTTTTCACATTTTGATTTTTTTTCCTTTAATATTCGCAAATGCAGTAATTTTTTGTCGAAAATGATCTGAGATGATACTCCAGTTACAGATGAACCTGCTCCTCAGCTAAACCAATGTAGAGAAATTCTGGCTATTAAAATCGGGGACATCACTCACTAGTTGCATGGTTTTCTACTAGGATTTATGAAATCATGACATATAATTGTCCAACTACAAGTTACCCGGCACCTAAAGTATTTTAAGTTATTAGTGTATCAAGAACTATATATCTGAATCAAATGATCTACGTACATTCCAAAACTATATGAAGCCAACTTGATTTATTCTCTCACTC